ACAAGATTATCACTGGATATATTATTATCTGGGTTATACACATTATGCAATTCTGCAATTAGACTTTAAATTAATTTCATACATCACTGATCATACCATCAACGTTACCTAGTCACGATCAAATGACCTGTGATCGTACCTAACCCTAGCAATACCAATACAAGAGGTGTTAGTCACTAGCATTACAGGAGCTAGACCCTCTGTGATCTTCATTCTCAAAGTCACCATCTTCTAATATTTTTCTACAACATATATATCCCAATATTACTACCAAACTTAATACTAATACACTAATAATGCAACATATCATTCAATTAATACATATACTAATTCAAATTTTTTTTTTTGCAACAAATACCCTATCAAATAATCAAATTCAGCACCCTATATCACTCTAATATCCAATCTTCCAAATCTACATATATCCAAATAACTTCCAAAGACAATACTCTTCAGATGTTTATAATTGTACCTAGCTAACTGATTCAAATACAAGTGTTTAAAGAATTCAACCTTCCCAATACTATCTAACATAGATTGTCTTTCTTTTGAGACTATACCTTTGACATTATTAGATACCCTCCAGACATTCGATATGCTAGGCCTCACTTTTCTACTATTGGGTCCATTACTATACACTTTGGTCCATAATCTTGAATTAGGTAAGCCTACGTGATTCTTCATAACCAATATTCTATTTCTCATTTTTGGGCTTCACTTATATATAGGACCAACTTTAGTTCTATTATCTGAGCCAGATCCTAATGTTTTATTTACATCAGCAGCCTTTTGATAACACATGAACACTTTGTATTCATCAATTTCAACTTCTATTCCATCTTTTACAATCTTAATTCCATCATTGTCACAATGTTCAACACCATGTATTCCATTGGCATTTCCCATATTAGCAAACTTTTGATAATAGTTAGATGCCTTATTTTCATTAGTAGCTTTTTCAGCTTCGATCTCTTTTTGACAACAACATTCCAAATCACATGTTCCACTAGCAAGAACTATCTCATCAGATTTTTGATAATGAATAAATGTCTTATGTTCATCCCTTTTTACATCAATTCTATTTTGATGACAAAACCAAGATTATACATATTACTAATGTGATCCAACTCATCAGTGATAAAATAGAAAGACCTAAGCTATTCAATTCTTACCAAAAATCTGCTGATATAGGAAGGCTGATGAAATCTATAATGTTGGGTACTGCAACGTTGATAGAATTGGAGTTAGGATGAGTAAACAAAAGGCATTCAATTATAATCAAAGATCTGATGAGTTGGATCACATTAGTAATATGTATAATCTTGGTTTTGTCATCAAAATAGAATTGATGTAAAAAGGGATGAACATAAGACATTTATTCATTATCAAAAATCTGATGAGATAGTTCTTGCTAGTGGAACATGTGATTTGGAATGTTGTTGTCAAAAAGAGATCGAAGCTGAAAAAGCTACTAATGAAAATAAGGCATCTAACTATTATCAAAAGTTTGCTAATATGGGAAATGCCAATGGAATACATGGTGTTGAACATTGTGACAATGATGGAATTAAGATTGTAAAAGATGGAATAGAAGTTGAAATTGATGAATACAAAGTGTTCATGTGTTATCAAAAGGCTGCTGATGTAAATAAAACATTAGGATCTGGCTCAGATAATAGAACTAAAGTTGGTCCTATATATAAGTGAAGCCCAAAAATGAGAAATAGAATATTGGTTATGAAGAATCACGTAGGCTTACCTAATTCAAGATTATGGACCAAAGTGTATAGTAATGGACCCAATAGTAGAAAAGTGAGGCCTAGCATATCGAATGTCTGGAGGGTATCTAATAATGTCAAAGGTATAGTCTCAAAAGAAAGACAATCTATGTTAGATAGTATTGGGAAGGTTGAATTCTTTAAACACTTGTATTTGAATCAGTTAGCTAGGTACAATTATAAACATCTGAAGAGTATTGTCTTTGGAAGTTATTTGGATATATGTAGATTTGGAAGATTGGATATTAGAGTGATATAGGGTGCTGAATTTGATTATTTGATAGGGTATTTGTTGCAAAAAAAAAAATTTGAATTAGTATATGTATTAATTGAATGATATGTTGCATTATTAGTGTATTAGTATTAAGTTTGGTAGTAATATTGGGATATATATGTTGTAGAAAAATATTAGAAGATGGTGACTTTGAGAATGAAGATCACAGAGGGTCTAGCTCCTGTAATGCTAGTGACTAACACCTCTTGTATTGGTATTGCTAGGGTTAGGTACGATCACAGGTCATTTGATCGTGACTAGGTAACGTTGATGGTATGATCAGTGATGTATGAAATTAATTTAAAGTCTAATTGCAGAATTGCATAATGTGTATAACCCAGATAATAATATATCCAGTGATAATCTTGT